ATCTTGTTGAGTCCTCTTCTAGACTCAACTAGTTCGATCTAAGCAGAAAAGGGTTTGGGAACCATACCCCGACTCGTCGAGTCCCATAAATGAATTACCAAGTCCCCCAAAGTCTATGTCCATACATTTGTTTTCATTCGGGTTTAACGCATCCAAAACATAGATCTAGCATCTTAGGGTCCATAGTACATGTAAAGTTACAAACTTGATGTTCATGCTTGGGGTATTTGGCTTAAATGGCCCTAAAATGGAGTTTACAAGATGCATGGGGCACTTATGGCAATAGTGTTGGCACCATTATGCCATATGAGCCCTCAATGGTTCCAGATCTGAAGTCATACCCTTTAAAACCACAAAATTCCGAATATGGCACTTTTAAGGCTTAGAAAAGGTATAAATGAACCCTAACTAGAGATGTAAGAGACAGACGATCAAGGTTTCAGCTTTATACCTCAAATGAGCTGGAAATGTGCCAAAACCTCTAGATCTTCTTGCTTCCTCTTGATCTCTCAAGCTTCGTTCTCCTTCTCCAAGTTCAAATTAACACAAATGGCACCAAAAAGCTGAAGAACACTCAATAAATGATTAGGGTTTTGAGTTAGGGCTTTTGTGGACTGGGTGGACGATGAAGGCTGGGTTGGGACAAGATAAAGTGTTTAAATAAGGTGCAAATCCTAAATATTAGGGTTTCATCAAGACAGTCTTACTCGTCGAGTCGGGCTCTCCGACTCGTCGAGTAGGTTACTTAAAACCCACGTCCAAGAGTCTAGTCTACTCGACGAGTTGGGCCTCCAACTCGCCGAGTCACAGTGTAAAAACGTACAATTAATAAAATTTAAATACGTACCGGGAGCTGGGTGTTACATCGTATCAGCTTTTCACTTTCAAATATTCAAATTCCATTTTTTTTTAATTACATTAAATCCCAATAAATGAGGAATTATCAGATTATCTAATTCAGAAATTGTAATTATTCTAAACTACAGTAAATTCTTGCCTTTATTCTTAGTAATTATCTTTAGGTAAAGAATAGCAATAAAAATTTAATAATAAGAATAACAAATACAACTTCAATAACGTTAAATAAGGAAATTATCAATTTTTTTCATTTTGAAATTCGATTTTTTTTACATTATATTAAATCCCAATAAATTAGGAATTAAATGTCGATTGTATACATGCTATAATATTTAATACTAGTATTCAGAGATTACATATAATCGTTCATTGTTTGCTATTCTCTAATTTACCTTTTCAAGTTGAAACCTCCTTGCAGTCCTCAAACAAGGTAGGAATAAGATAATCAGATTTTATTCTTGTTTTAGTATTTATAAATTGATCATTATGCAAATTTATAAATCGTAAACCAAACAAAAAAAATTGAAAAAAAACTCTATAGCAACCATCGAACAATCTGAACATGTATTTGACCAAACTTGAAGCTTTCAAGTTTCATCTTTTTGTTAATAACTAATTAACTATTTCATGTTTTCATTATCAGTTCTACAGTAACTTTTAAGATTGCACATACATTTATGGTTTTATATCATGACACCAAGAGAGTATATGAGAAATTTTCATAATGTTTATACAACACCATTATCAATAGATTTTGGTAATCCCAATATAATGTCTCATCATTCAAAATAAAAAAATATATATCAATGATTAAATAATTTAAAAAAAAACACACAAACATAAATAATGAAAGCATACCGAGGTTGTATAAAGTATAAACAGCTTCAGGATTATGAAAACAACGATGTTAAAGAAAGAACTTAAGAAGTAAAACATTTTACAACATAATGAACAACAATGAAAGATAATAAAACCAAACATACAGAGTTCCTTGTTAAAGTTCCGGTTACATGAACTTCCAATTATAGCAATATACTTTCAAAGTACACTACTATAATACGTGTGAAATTTTATTGTTTTTGAAATTTTTGTCATTGTGGCCAGTTTTGCTCCATAGGCCAAATACCCTTTTAAATTCAATTATATGGTAACATTCCAGGGTCATAATTGTCATTTTTTGAATAGGTCCATAATTGTGATTTTTTGTTTAAGGGCATAATCTTTATTGTTTTCCATCTTACTTTACTACTATTATATTTCTTAATGATTTGTCTATTTAAACATTTTTATTTTTATGGCAACCAATCAGCATATCTTGTGTGTGCTGTTGTGTGTATGTGTATGTATGTGACTGTGTGCAAGAAAGTACTTTGCTATATTGCTATATAATGTGAAAGGGCCAATTATTGTAACCTGTTGAAGTTTGTAGTTGATATCTTACATTTAAAATATTAATGTATAAAATCTATCTATTTTAAGTTCTATCGGTTCAAACTACCAAGAAATTTTAAAAGCTTTACTTTTATAAACCATAAGACCAACTACTAATTAATTAAGTTACCCCATGTGTAATCAGTCTTCTTTGTGGCAGTAACTCTATTCACAAAGAGCAATGTAACCATAAAAGATAATATGACCGTACTTAATGTTAATGTTACTGATGATAAGACTTGAGAGAGTAGAAGTAATTAAGTAGTATGGGGCAATTGCTACTAGTGAAAAGCGAGAATGATGACATTTTCTTTATCGTATAGTATAAACTTATAGAGGGTAGGGGTGAGCATGATGCGGTTTTAGCCTAAAACCGCAACTCTAACCACTAGGTGCGGTTTTTCTATATGTAAAACTGCTAGATGTGGTTTTATTGCGGTACGGTTTTTGCCGGTTTATTTGCGGTTGCGGTCTGTAATGGTACCGTTTCGGTTTTAAACCGCAAATTACTAAAATGGCCCAAAGCTAGGAAAATTCAAATGCTTAAAATAAGTAAATAACCATATTCATTTAACATCTTACAAGCCAACAATATTATTTACTAATAAACCATGACACTAGGCGGTAACCATTTAAATGGCACAAATTGCAACAAGTCAAAGTGGAAAATTACAAGTTTAAACAAGTCAACAACATTAGCCACTAGATTGGCCTAAAATCGATAAACTTACAATAGATTAAAGAACAAATATAAAGTTTTTCCAGTTTTCACTTTCTAACTATCGATCAGACAATAGACATCTGTAGCCAAATTCAAAAACTTCAACAGCCTAGCCAAAATCCATCATTTTCCACTAGTGCTTCCTAGAAGAAAAAAGGCAAAAAAAATATTAGTATATTTGAAATATGAACTCAAACATATAAAGAAAACCTTACCAATTTTTAAACTCGCCATCTTCTCATTAATCTCATTTTTGTCTTTATTCTTCATAGAACAACTGAGTTCAAGATCAACTCTTGTACGTCTTATCCAATCTTGTGTACAAATCAAAGCATCGGCGGTTTCAGTATTAAGTGAACTTTTATACATGTCAATAACTCTATCACCCATACTAAATGCCAATTCTGATGCAACTGTTGATATCGGCATTGCCAAAACATGTCTAGCTAGTTTGGATAGTATAGGAAATTTGACTAAATTTGTTTTCCACCATCCCAAAAGATCAAACTTTGGGTCAATTTTTTCCTTTCAATCCGCTAGATAGATATCAACTTCAGTTTTAATATCTTGACCCCCAAAAGATCAAACTTTAGCACCTTTCTTATATGGAAAATGTTGCCAAACAACCGTCTTCAATTTTGGCTCGTTTTCTTCTATAGGGACTCCAACTTCATCATTTTTTATCGTCTACATCTATTATACCTTCAATTGTAGCCATTCTAAAACAACAAACATACATTGTAATTAGAGCCATGTTGTTAAAAACAAACACAATTACACACATAGACAACTATATTGTGCAATAATCAGGTTTAAAAACAGAATTAGATACTCATATATATATATATATATATATATATATATATATATATATATATATATATATATATATATATATAACCTCTCATAATCTCATTATATAGTAAACTATATACATCATTGTTAGTTTGTTAATGACTTAAATATATACAATTAAAATTTTGCAGTGTTTATGTGAAGTATAAACAATTACAAGATTGTTAAATTACAAAAAGAAACATAAGTTTCTTGTACCTGTAAGACTCAAATCACAAAAAGAAAATTGAATTTATACTCAAACTTCAAGCAAATGTGATTCTAATTATGTATGCTTACCTGAAATCAGAAGAAATCGCCTAGTGTTGTTCAGTTCTTCGGTGTTAGCTAGAGTTCTTCACTTCAGGCGGTGAGATTTTGAAGCTTGGAGGCGGAGAGAGTCTAAAGTGAAGGGGAGAAGATTGTCTGAGGAGGTAAAGCGGGGGTGATGAATGGAGAGGGAGGCAGGAGAGGAGCCAACGATGCATGATTGCATGATGCCGTTTGTTTGTTTGAGCATAAGGCTAGAGGCCGAGAGCGACTAAGGTGTATGATCGTATGAGGCGGAGGTGATGAATGTTTCTGTTGAAGTCGTATTTTTATTACCCCCGCTATCCCAATTTCTTTTCAGATTTCCCACATATTCTTTTTCCTCAATTGTAAATAAATAAACGACAAAATTGTAAGAATGGTCCCTGTGGTTAGGCTGAAATTGCTACTTTAGGCCAAACAGGTTTGGACTAGCACTCATGGTCCAAAGGTTTTCATGTTCTTACCACTTTGGTCCAATTTACTTTAAACTTTTTTGTAATGACGATTTTTCCCTTCGATTTTATTTTTTCAGTTTATTTATTTATTTAAATATTTTTATAATTAAAAGAAAAATAAAAAAAAAATACATATCTCTCTCTCCACTGTGTCTTCTTCTCTATTGTGTATTCTTCTCCACCTAAAAAATGCTTTTCATCCTGTTCATCTTCAAAACAACTTCTTTTTTTTTTAAAACTCAAACGCAAAATCTAGAGCTTGAAGCACCGATTTCGTAAAAGAATCCTAGTAATTACTTCTCAAACCCTCCTCAACGAACTTAAATCACCAAATCGAAACCAGAAATTGAATTGGAAACATGGAATGACCATCGATTTAATCACTGGAGATGGATTATCGATTTAATGGCGGTGACGGAGCAAATCAAGTGCTTGATGTTGAACGATGTGAAGAACAAGCAGAGGAAATCACGTACCCATCATCTCCATCATGGAGAACCCAAAATATGGGTTTAGACTTGGATCTACACAACTGGCATCTCCAATCGACAACTTTTACCCATATGAATAATGGTTTTAACCCCATTGCATACAACCACGATGTTGATGGGTTCGTATTTTTTATTTACGTTGATGCAGGGAAGAGGGATTTGTCAAAGGTGTGACCGAGTTTTCAAGTTGGAGATGGAAATGAAGACTGAAAGAGGGATTGTTGTCCAAACGCGAGATTGATTATACTCATCAACGTCATTTCCTTTGAGGGAACAATTAAAACAACATAGACATACCTCGTGTTTTTCAGATTTGGAATATTGAAGAAGAAAAGAGTCATTAGAGTTTTGAGGTTGGTGATATATTGAAATCATAAAGTTTCTGATAGAGAACGAGATCAAAGAGGGACATGAAGAAGGTGGAGGAGATGAGAGTTAGAGTTTTGGGTGTCGGAAGATGTGCAATGATGGCTGAAGAGGGGGTGGCAGGGATGAGATGCGTCTGTGAAGGTGAAGTTAGGGTTCCGACACTATAGTTATGACAGCCGACTCCGATGGTTTAGGTGGTGTTTGTCAAGTAAGGAAACAAAGGATGATAAATGGTTTTTAGAGAGAGAGAGAGAGAGAGAGTGTGTGTGTGAGAGAGAGAGAGAGGGAGGGAGGGAGAGAGAAATATGCATTTTTATTTTTCTTTTAATTATAAAAGTATTTAAATAAATAAATAACTGAAATATAATCCAACGGCAAAATCGCCATTACAAATTTTTTTAAAGTAAATTTGACCAAAGTGACAAATGAAAACCTTCGGACCATAAGTGCTAGTCTAAACGCGTTTGGCCGAAAGTAGCAATTTCCACCTAACCATAGAGACCATTCTAAGATGTTTTGAACTATCCTCAGGTCTCAAGGTAAACATGTCCAAAAGTAAGTTATTTGGCATTGGTGTCCCAAATTGTGAATTAGAATTATTGGCCCGTTATAGTAATTGCTCCATTGGATCCTTTCCCTTCATATACCTTGGTCTGCCGGTTGGTGCTTCTATGGCTAGAGTGTCAAACTGGAACCCTATAATTCAGATATTTCAAGCGAGATTATCAAAATGGAAGGCCACTAATCTATCTTTTGGTTGACGCTTAACTCTGTGTAAAGTTGTGTTGAGTAGTCTTGGCACCTTTTATTTCTCTATATATAAAGCCCCGGTTAAAGTTATAAAAACTCTCAAGAAGATTAGGATGCGGTTCTTTTGGTTGGGTGATGAAACCACTAAGAAAATGGCTTGGATATCTTGGGACAAAATCCTAGCTGATAAAGATAGAGGTGGGCTTGGTATTGGCAGCCTAAAGGCCCAAAATTTAGCTCTGTTGGGCAAATGGTGGTGGAGATTCAGGAACTTTCCTGAGAATACATGGGTGGAGGTGATAAAATCTATTTTATGGAGATGATGGGGGTTTCAACAAGCCATCAGTTGCGAAAAAGAAAAGTGGCTGCTGGGGCACCATTGCAAATATTCCAAAAATTCTAGAAAAGGATAGTGTATCTTTTTCGAATCATTTTCACCGGTCTCGGAATCCCAATGGGGTTCTCAAATGGTCTTGGTCGCTCGAACCTTCTGGGGTATATTCGGTTGGGTCTCTAAGATGTCACATTGACAAACTCTCTCTTCCAGCTAGCGATGGCATATGGTCCTGGAACCCCCCGACTCCAGGAAAATTAAACATTCTTGCTTGGCGTATCTGTCACAGTAAACTCCCCACTATGGTTAATTTATCAAAAATCGGTATATGTTCCTCAAACTTATTCAGGATCTGTCATGGAGCTCCGGAATCTAAACAACAAATTTTTTTAGAGTGTGCGGATTATAGGGAGGTTTGGCAACTTATCTGCAAATGGTGGCGGTTGTTGGATTATCCTCTGGTTTCAACGCGAGATTTGCTACAGTGTAAAGGGAATATTGCAGGGCATCAAAGGCTAGCATGGATTCATAAAGCTATAATGGTAACTTTTAAATGGGTGATAGAATTTAAGTGCTCACTCGCATGCTCCAATTTCAAAGTCGCAATCCGCGCTGGCTTATGCGGTGAAATCTCTCTCGATCTTTTGGATCAATGCTAGAAAGAGGAAAGGTCATATTCTGAGGTGGTCTGAATGGTGTAGTGATCCGATTCTAGAATGCTATAGTAGGCTATAAATTTTGTTGTTTGCATTTTTTTTTGTTCTGTTTTTGTTGTTGGTTTCTTGTTCTTAACATTTCCTCTTGTATTGTACTTCTAGCCTCCGACTAGTTTTTTTATTAAATATCAGCCTGATGTTCAATATATATATATATATAGACACACACTTTAATTTTATTAAATTATCAAATATATAATTATATATATAATTTAATAATATAATAAATTTTGCGGTGAGGTTTCGGTAAATTTTCACGGTTTTCAAGCTAAAACGATACCGCACCATGCATTGCGGTTGCGGTTTTGCAGTTTTGGGGTAGCGGTAAATGCGGTTTTTAGTGCAGTTTTTGTTTTCGGTTCGGTTCTTGTTTACCCTAATAAAGGGTGTATGTGGTGTTTTGGAATTTATTTTATGCTTTAAAGAATTATTGTATTATTTATCTTTCTATTGCCATTTGTCTTCATATTTTCAAAATAATTATTTATTGTGTATATATTATTTTATGCAGTAATTACCTTTTTTTGGACTGCAATGATATTATGGACTCAGTCTTAAAAAAGATAAAATTAAAATACTTAACTTCCTATTCAATATTTTAATAAACAAACAAATTTTTTGATCATTTAATTTTTTTTTAAAATTTAACAATTTGCAAATATTTGATTAGTCATTACGATTTCAAAATAGGATTAATTCTTTTGTTTTTCAACCATGGGTTCCACTTGTTTAAACCTAATATATATATATATATATATATATATATATATATATATATATATATATATATATATATATATATATATATATATATATATATATATAGCCCAGTTCCGGTGTGGACACTTTTCACAGTGAGTCCTCGTGAGGACACGTACAAAAAATTGAAAACCAATTTAAAAAAAAATATAAAATCGAGTATAATGCTATATCGGAGAGAAAAATAAATTGGATTTTTTTTGGATCATTAAAACTGAGGCATGAGTCTTAAAAAAGTGAATCATGGATCATAAAAATAATCCATGGTTCAATTTTAACTAGGAAAGAGACCCATGCTCTGTATGGGTCATGAGAGGTTTTGTTTTTTGTTTAATTGTGCAAGCTATGTAAAAGTCGATTAGGTTGTCTTGATTGGTACTTTTAGCAAAAATAGTATTCTACCTATGTTTCTTTAAATATATAAGCAAAATTCAAACAAATTTTTACAAATTCATACCTATAAAGTAGGTTCTTATTATGGTTTAAAACTATAAGTACATTGGTCTTATAGCAATACTGCAAACTTGCGGATCTTTTGCTGCTTTCCGGAATGGCTGTTCCAATTATACGAACCTTATTCTTACTTGAAAATACAAACAAAATTTTCCAAATAAAAAATTCAATATTTTGAAGTCTCCATGGCTTTTCCTCAAACCCATCAATATAGAAAAGCAATCACTGAATTAGAGCAAAAACAATTTATAAAAAAAAAAAAAAAAACCAAGATAAACATAGATTTTTCACTTTCTGTTTAAAAAAAAAAGGACCAACCTTACCAAAGTTCTTGCACTTGAAAACTACTGAAAAAACACATATCAGTAAAACTGCAATGTAATCCATGTACATGACACATGTGATATGCCAATGTAAAAAACTTTCTTTCGTCACTTGTAGATATTCCCCCACCCCCATTATAGGATTATTGGTGTTGAAAGAGTTCAGCACAGAAGAAAATTAAAATGTTTGTTTACCTGCTAAATACAGGTCAAGTCAGATTTCATAGGATTTGAATCAAATTAATCATCAAATGTTTATATGGGAAACTTGACTTATTGTGATCTTAAACTACCAATGCAAGAATAAAAATCTTCCTACTTGTATACCTGATGCATTTGGGGTCATCAAGGAGCTTCTAACCCTCAAAAGGTAAGCAAAATTGTGCCCAAACATGTGACCTTCAATAGTTTACTAAGGAGGACGAAGCATGAAGAAAATCTGATTGGCTTTGACTGATTTACCCTCACAAATGGGCTGCCTTTGGTTTCTAATATTGTACCCTCGTGAACTAAAGAGACTGAAGTCACTGAACCGGCATCAGGGATGAATGAAGGTAAGGAAGTTACAACCTCTTTTACTTCATACCTCTAATCTAATTTACCCTTGTTTCAGTGGAGTATTCCAAATAAGCAATATTTGACAATCACTTTGAAAATGCACGTCATAAGCATCCAAAACATAAGTAGTACTAAAGAGTGATGGTTAGATAGAAAACCCTTACTTGTAAATTCATTCCCTTGTTTTGGCTGCAATCAGGAAGAATGAAAGAAGAAATCAGAGAGAATTATGAAAGAGAGGAGGAGAGGTGGAATTGAGATGAGTGAGAAGGTTGGAGAGGAAAGCAATCAACTGAGAGGCGGTGATGGGTCGATCATTTGTTGTCCGTGTCTAATTGGAAGGATGGGGGAAGCAGACAATAACACGTGATGAGGTAGAGACCCAGTTTTATTATGCAGAAGCGTACCCTTGGCCGTCGATGCCCCGTTGTCCAGCACTCCCTCCACTTCCATATGACACATCATCGTCAGTTTATCTAGTTGTAATCAGAAAAGATAAAAATAAATAAAAACATAACATATGTGGAATGTACTGGTATGACAATCTCTCAGGACACCAAGTTATGTCTAAGAAGCTTAAACCATGGAATTAAAATAGAATGAGCAATAAATTTTATGACATTGGTTATTTAGAAAACATTATCATAATAAACAACTTCAAAATTTACTTATACACATTTCAATCTTTGGCAAAGGAAGTGGCTGGAAATTTCAGAAAAGCAACTTGAAGTAAACATCAAAAAGCTTTAAACATCACACCGTCCTTAAGAAAATAACCTAATCCCCAATTATGATTTGGTATTTTATTAATTGAAATCGGTAAGAAAATGCAAAACTAATCCCAATTTTAACATACATTGAAGATTAAATAAACTATCATTTGGGAAACTACTACAAAAGTATACACATACCTCACAAGTTCAAGGGCTCTTTTTCGAATTGAAGCATCTGAATCCTGAATAAAAAAAGAGTACTTACTGTTTATATACATGCAATTGTGCAATATTTGTGTGGGTTAGGGGAAGCCCAACCACCAGAGAAACAACCCAATACCGACAATAGCTAAACGAAGGAGGTGGAGGCACAACTTTTGCAACACTTAGCACTTGCTGCTCTATCATCTGAAACCAACATCAACATAAGGGACTAAAGTAATTCATATCAAAATAATGATAAGAAATCGAAATGAAATGAAAAAAAATCACAAACCTCTTGAACCCTATTCTCCATTGGATTTGATTTTTCTTCACCATCGATGGGACCATAGCTCCGTTTTTCTCCCACCGACGACCTTCTTCCGATCTCGCTCCAGACCACAGCTGTCGGCGCCAGCTGCTACCTCTATTTCCTATCCGGTAAGTCCTACCTACGATGTTGGTTTTTCTGTTGGCATTGCATCTGATGAATATATGGTTTGTTTTTTCCGATATTGGGAGTAAGCAATCGAGCCTTATTTCCAGGGACGGGATAATAAACGCCCAAATGCTAAAAGCGTGAGCATGGCATACCTCGGAACATAAGTCGCAAAAAAGAGGATGAATGAGTGTGAATTTGGAATTTCATAGCAGAAATTAGTGATGGGATTCAAGTCTTCACAAGTCCTGCAACCGAGGCATAGACAAATTTTGTGAAGATTTGAACCCATCATGAAGAATAAGAAGAAGAAAGCAAAGCGAAGATGTACCAACTTTAGGTCTGAAGGGCCCCTAATCATCATTTTATATGAAAACCTTAATGTCACATGGGCCTTGAGTTTGGCCTTTCCACTAGGCTTTGGTAATTTGATTATTAATGGGCCATTCAAGAATAATCATATGGACTAGAATATGTTGATGGGCTTGGGGTTAGGCCCATATAAGGATTTGGGCCCAAGTTGGAAAATTAGACTATAGATGGGCCATAGTTTGGGTGTTAATAATTATATGATATTGGGCCATTAAAATGTCAAATGTTGGACTGGAATAAGTGGTTGGGCCTTAGAGTGAGACCATGTTAAGTTTGGGCCTAATTTGCAAAATTGGGCCATATGCTGTGCTTTCATTCACATTTTAACTTTTGGGTTCTTAGATTGAGCCTTGAGTTGAATCAAGCTAAGGTAAGGGTAAAGCGGCCTTGTACCTCAAGCTTGGACTTATGATTTCTATGTTGGAACCCAATTATTAATTGAGTGGTGTTTTCATATTGACAGTTCGAGAATCTATCCACCAGCAGCTGGAAGTTCATCCGCGGGACTTCAGCAGTGCGAGGTGAGTCTTCTCACCATACCCATGGGTCTAAGGCACCAAGGTTGGCCCATTATGTGATTATGGTATACGTGTTAATCATTCTGTGCTTTGATATGCTATGTGATTGTGTGTTATTGCATGGAAGACCCCGGGGGAGCCTGTGGCATTGGATATAGGACCATGTGGGGTAGCCCATGGCATTCTTAGGTAAAGACCATGTGGGGTATCCCATGGGACAATGGTGTAAGACCTTGGGGGAGCCTACGACATCCTTACAAGTTTATTTGTGTTATGTGTAGATATTTCTGTGATATATGATATGTTTATGTGATATCTGTTATGCTAGTTGTCTTTGTGATACTTGAATGAAAGACCCTGGGAGGAGCCCATGACAATTAGATATAAGAACATGTAGGGTAGCCCATGACATTCTCAGGTTAAGACCATGTAGGGTATCCCATGACACAATGGTGTAAGTCCTTGGGGGGAACCCACGACATCCTTACAGGTTTTGGTATGCATGGCTTGTGTGTTATATGTAGCTTCTATCGCTAGCAGGATATGTGATACGTGGATCTTTTATAGCTAACAGGATATGTGATATGTGGATTGTGTGTATGGTATA